CGTCGTCGTTCTCGTCCTCGTAGTCGTCGTCGTCGTCGTCGTCGTCGTCGTCGTCGTCGTCGTCGTCGTGTTCGTGTTCGTGTTCGTGTTGTTTTCGTCGCCGTCGTCGTTCTCATCTTCGTCGTCGTCGGCTTCGTCGTCGTCGTCGTCGTCGTCGTCGTCATCGCCGTAGTCGTCGTCGTCGTCCTCGTCGTCGTCCTCGTCGTCGTCGTTTTCGTCACCGTCCTCGTTGTCGGCGTCCTCGTCGTCGCCGTCGTCCTCGTGGCGGGCGGGAACGCGCGCGCGCGTGCGGGCCGGCGGGCGGGCGCGCGGGCGGGTGGGTCAGCGGGCGAGCGGGAGGTTGCACGCGCGGAAGGGCAGCTTGGTGGGCGCGCGAGCGGGCGGCTGGGGGACTGGCCGGTAAACCAACCAGCTTACCACCAGCCATCTGAGCGACGGACCAACCAACTGGTTCACCGACTGACCAACGTCGTTAGAGGCTCAAAGACGTCTGCCGTCCTTCGACTCGCGCTAGAGCGGCCGCAATTTGCTCCAACTGTCCCTGAAGGTCTCTGGATTTACCTGGATTTGCGCGGATTTACCTGGATGTACCTCGGTTTATCTGCATGTACCTGGATTTACCTTCATTTATCTGGGTTTATCTTGCTCGATCCCCACAAGTCGATTGGCGAAAAGTCGTCAAGCCCTTAGGGTCAACGATCAACCAACCGTTCAACTCAGCAACCGGCCCCAACCGACCAGCCAACCAACCAGCCAACCAACCAAAACCAACCAGCAGACCAAGCAACCAACCAACCAGCCGGCCAACCAGCTGGCATCTTCTGACGATGTCTCACACGGCGGGCCAGGAACGATTCTTCCACCTGGAATGAATTTCCCAATTAGTGCTTGCACTGAAGGGTTCTCAAGTGTGGAATAAGGAAGTGGGCCTGCGCGTCGGTCTGGCGGCTTTGTAGTAGCCGTCGCCGCCCCGTTGTCCGCCTCGTCGCCACCCGTCGTCTGGGCCTGCACGTCAGTCTGTCGGCTAAGACGTCGCCGTCGCCGCCGTGTCGCCGCCTCGTCGCCAGCCGTTGTCTGGGCCTGCGCGTCGGGTCCGCCGCCTCGTGGTTGCCGTAGCCGCCCCGTATAGGTTGAGCCACGTAGATAGCTCCACATGGATTGCACAACATATACTGTACAACATAGATGGCACAGCACAGATTGCATAATAGATCTTGAATCACACTGATGGCACCACATATGTTGCTCCACACAGCGCACAACAGACATTGCCAGAGACACTCTGCTTAGGGCCCACGCTGGCTAAGACTTTCGAAGCGTGAAACAACACCTTGCAATGGTTCTGTGAGAATTCCTTCTCCCCCTTGCAGATCCCTGCCATGCGTTCTCGGCCTCCGTCAATCTTCTCGTCGTCACGGCCCAGCTCCCCCATGGCACCCTGGTGAGGGCGCGCCCCAGGAGAGGTGTGCGGTCTTACATTGCGAAGGAGGATTGCATGTCCGGAGGCCCTGGACGTCTCCACAGGTCTCGGAGGTCTTCGCGGGTCCGAATTGCAAAACAAACAAACAAACAAACAAACAAAACGTCCGAGGTACCAGAGGCGTTATTAATATTACTCTTTGACGACAAGCCAGTGTCCAGCGCACCGTGCAGTCGAGACACTGCCATACGGAACCCGAAATGAGGAACCAGGCTCCTGTTTTCCATCTGTTAATCTTCTCCTTCCCCAAGACAACCTAAGAAGAACCTAAGGAAAGCTGTAAACCAATTGAGGAACACTGAGCCCATCACGAACGAAAAGGGTTCCTTCTTCAACGGCCCGACTGTGTGCGGGCATTCCATAATCTGTATTCAGCCTTTGCTAATTCTCGGACAGCGCTCATCGATTAAGTAGCCCCTCGTGTACGAATTGAGCACAACTTCTAGCCGGCACCTCCATCAATTCTTCGCTTCGTTGGCTCGTGCCCATGTATCGACCACTGTCTGTACAACGATTCCGCGCTTGTGGGCTCCGCTCGAGCAGCGGAGCTCGCACGAAAATGGCACGGGCAACGAAACTCGCGCGAAGCGAAACTCGCACGGACGGAGAAGAACTCGCACGGACGGAACTCGTACGAGGCGGAGCCGGCACAGACGCGGAACTCGCACGCGCGGAACTCGCACGGACGGACGTCCCACGCGTTGCGATTTCCGCCGCGGGTGCATACGTCGATCGTGGTCGCCCGTGTGAGCTCGCGAGCTGCGAATTTTCAGTCCGTGCGGGTTCCTCTTAGTGGGAACTCCGTGCGCACGACTTCTACGCGTGCAAATTCCGTCCGTTCGAGTTCCGTCCCGTGCAAATTCCGCTCCGTGCGAATTCCGCCTCTTGCGAATTCCGTCCGTGCAAGTTCCGCTCCGTGCGAGTCCCATCCCTTCTAGGAAACCCAGAAATGGAAGAGGCAGAGGTTCGATGGCAATTCATGGGAGCCTCCCATAGCATCTTGTCGGCTCTTGCGAATCGACGCTAATCGACGCCAAATCGACGCTAATCGACGCTGACCGACACTAAATCGGCGCTGCCTCATCGACTCCAGACGCTAATCGACGCTTCTCACCGCGCTACAGACGGAGTTAAGAGGGTATGCCAAGCTCCCATGATGTGCTACCGTAAGGCGGAGGAGAGATGCGGCGCATGACTGGACGCCCTGGACAGAGGAGCGCAGATCTCGGCTACAACGCTGGAGCGAGAGACTCAAAGATATGAGCTTCGACAGGTGGGCCCGGCGAGTCTACGACTGGATCCCAGACGGGCGCAGAGCACGCGGACACCCTCTTACGAGATGGTCCGATCAATTTCGGCTGAGCCCGTAAGGGCACGCGGCCGCGCGCGCGCGACCCGTACTCAGCGTTCGATTCGTTCGTTCGTTCGACTGGACGCCCTGGCCTCAGAATCGCCCTCCTGGACATGCTTCCGGGGTTCGGTCGGGAACCCCGCCGTGGCCACCAGGGCTCCCTGGACGGGCCCTCGCAGCGGCCCGACGCGCCCGAAAACGCCCAGGAGGTTCGAGCTCGATCCTCCTCCACCTCCTGATGTTGCTCCTGCTCCTCCAACTGCTCCTGCTCCTCCCTACTACACACCCTGATCAACATGGTCGACCCACGAACCCGGAAAGGAATATAGAAATATAAGGCTTGGCAACGTTTCAAAGGCACCTGATTGGGCGACGGGTAAATGCAATGCTGAATGGATCGATCTTGATGTACCGTGCCGAGGGCTGTGCTGCGCGGCACCGTGCTGAATTGCGATGTGCCATGCCGCGATGGTGCTCTTTAGCGTTGTGGATCGAGTCCTCATTTGCGTCCGAGTCCTGACCGAACTGATCTGGATCTTTAAGCTCGAGCTGACTTAGCACATAGTAGCTGCTCCAGAGCTAACTGACAGGGGGACGTGCCAGGAAGACGAGCCGCAGAACGTCCCAAGGGACGCGCCAGGCGACGTGCCAGGGACGTCGCCATGGAGACGCACCGCGGGACGTGCCAAGGGGACGCGCTATGGAACGTGCCAATGGACGTGCCACGGGACGTGCAAAGGGACGCGCCGCGCGACGGGCTAGGGGGACTCGCCACGGGACGCACCACGGAACGTGCCAAAGAACGTGTCACATTGGAATACTGAGTGGATCGATGTTGATGTACCGTGCCGAGGGCTGTGCTGTGCTGCGCCGTGCTGAATTGCGATGTGCCATGCCGCGATGGTGCTCTTGAGCGTTGTGGATCGAGTTCTCCTTTGCGACCGTGTCCTGACCGAACTGATCTGGATCTTTAAGCTCGAGCTGACTTAGCACATAGTAGCTGCTCCAGAGCTAACTGACAGGGGGACGTGCCAGGAAGACGAGCCGCAGAACGTCCCAAGGGACGCGCCAGGCGACGTGCCAGGGGACGTCGCCATGGGGACGCACCGCGGGACGTGCCAAGGGGACGCGCTATGGAACGTGCCAATGGACGTGCCACGGGACGTGCAAAGGGACGCGCCGCGCGACGTGCTAGGGGGACTCGCCACGGGACGCGCCACGGGACGTGCCAAAGAACGTGCCAAGTTGCAATGCTGAGTGGATCGATCTTGATGTACCGTGCCGAGGGCTGTGCCTGGGCGACCTGGACACGTGAGAACAAGCGTTTCGCTCAAGCAATTCTCAACACATCCTCATGCTAGAATCTGTCTGGGCAAGCTGGACATGTGCAAACAAGCGTCTCGATCGAGACATTCTCAGTACATCCTCATGCTAGACATCCGCCTGGGCAAGCTGGACACGTGCACATAAGCGTCTCGAGTGAGACATTCTCAACACATCATCATGCTAGACATGGGCCCGGGCGACCTGGACACGAGCAAACAAGCGTTTCGCTCGAGACTTCCTCAACACATCCTCATGCTAGACATCCGCCTGGGCAACCTGGGCACGAGCAAACAAGCGTCTCGCTCGAGACTTCCTCAACACATCCTCACGCTAGACATCTGCCTGGGCGACCTGGGCGCTTGAAACCAAGCGACTCGCTCGAGACATCCTCGAGACTTGGGCACGTGAAACCAAGCATTTCGCTTAAGAGACCCTCTGAATTCCGGTCCCCATGAGGGGACAATATATAACACAAAACAAGCGCTTCGCTCGAGACATTCTCAACAAGTTCTGTAAAACAAGCGTTTCGCTCGGAACGTCCTCAAATTTGGGTTCGCCGGCTGATGAGATAATATGCCGATGAACAACAATATCTCCTTTTCATCTTGAGCCAAAATAGGCGCACAGAGGAGGGTGTCAGAATCACTCCTCCTCGGGCCTGGCCGCAAACCGGCCAGGCACGACCTAAGTCGTACGCGGGCGCGCCCGAGCCGACGCGCCCAGCTCATCGGCTAGGCTGCGGCCATGCCGCGAGCCCCTCACTCCGCCCGGCGCGATCATACCGCCGCCGGCGGAACCTCATCCAGCCCCACAGGTAGCGGAGCATGGATTCGATCCACTCCATCACTTGATGTCCTTCTGGTTCGAGCTCGGTGCCCGATCCCAGATGTTCAGCGTAGCCATGTGTCTCCTCAAAAGGGAGCCACCCACGCTCTTGGTCAGCACGTCCGCGACATTGTTCTTGCCAGGAACTGCGGCGATCGAGAGGTCGCCCTTGCCAACACGCTCCTGGATCCACAAGTATCGTGATTGAACATGTCGCATCTTCCCGAGACCTCGCCGTTGGACGTGGCCCCGGGCCGCCGATGAGTCCGAGGCAAGCTCCACCTTCAGGTCCAGCCCCCAATCTGCGAAGAGGCTGTGAAGGCCTAGGCCCACGCTCCCGCCCTTCACCAGGGCGTAGTACTCGCTCTCCCCGCTGCTCAATGAAACCGTCGACTGCAGGTTACTGCCGTGCTTGACTACATGATGCCCCAGCATCGCCACGAAGCCTCCGGTGCTCTTCCGCGTGACTGCACAGCCTGCATGATCGGAGTCCACGTACACCCGGATCTTGTCGAACGTCTTCTGCTCCGTGAAAACCGTCACCGTGCTAGGATGCCGCTTGAGGTAGCGGCCAACCCTCTTGAGCATGAGCCAGCTCGCCTCCGTTGGCGTCTGCATGGACCTGGCGAGCGTCTTCGATGCCTCAGCCAAGTCCAGCCTGTCCTGAGACAGGTAGGCCACCCTCATGGTGAGGGATCGGAAGCGCGAAGCTTCCGCTGCTCCCAACGCCGCCGACTTCGCATCCATCATCTGCTTGTCGGCGCTGCGCTTCTCCGTCGGCGTGTCCACGCCGTTGGCCTTGCTGAGACCCAACTCGTCGATCACGATCTCCGCGTGCCGCTTATCCGGCTCGATCATCGCATGCCGGCAAGGCCGGCCACCGCCAGGCGGAACTCCCGCACTGACCTCGATGACCCGATTCAGGAAGACCGCCTGCTTGTCATCGCCCTCGTCGAAGCCTAGGTTCGCAGTCTTCTTGAACTCGTACTTCTTGCCCAGCGTGGCCTCGAAGCTGTCGATGTCCTGCTGCTGAGCCAGCACCGCGAAGTCGTCGCCGTGCCCCAGCAGCCTCGTCTCGTCCACCTCCTTGTAGAAGACCGCTGGGCACGACACGCCCGCCTTGTAGCCGTTTTCCTCCAGCAGCTCCGTGTAGTCGCCCTGCCAGATCTTGCTGGCGTCCTGCGTGCCGTACCAGGACTTGAGGAGTAGGCCGCACTTGTCCTCGCCGTACTCCTTGCGACTCTCCTCCTCCAGCTCCACGAAGATCCTCCGCTGCGCCTTCCCGTAGAAGTGCGCCCTGCTGATGTCGAAGAAGCCGATCTTGAAGTTGCCCGGCTTCCTGCCCTTCTTGCGAAGCGACTCCTGAATGTGGAGCGGTGGTTCCCGCGTCCACGTGACCATCAGCGAGACCAGCGACCGCATGGCCTCCAGAGGAGGCATGGCCGAGAAGACCTCGGACGCCTCCAGCTGCTCGTCAGGGCGCTTCTTCGCCTTGATCTCCTTCACGACGAGCCTGCTCCTGTAGTTGGGCCTCTCCGCGTCGCCCTTGTTCGTGTCGACCCACTTGAGTGGGATGGGCGGACGCCCAGTCTCGGCAAAAGCCTGAGACCTCGGGACGATCTCGATCAGCTCCTGCTTCTTGACCCACTCGCGCTCGACCGTGCGAGCCTGGGCCACAAGGCCCGCCTCCAGGTAGCCGCCATTGACGTCGTCCCAGTAACTCGTCCAGTCCCCGGGCGGCACTGCCGCGTCCACAGGGACTGGGCCCGACTGCTGCACCTGGGCGGTGCTGAGCTCTCCCACGTCATTCAGCGTGTCCTTGAGCTCCTCCAGCACCGCCTCCACCAACTTCGGTGGATAGACCTTCGCGAACCGCGCGATGCCGCCCACGAGCGTGATGTGGCGATGCCATTCCGCGCGGCCGTCCACATTGCTGCAAGTGCCCTGCAGCCTCCGGGCTAGGCCTGGATGGTTGGTGACCCATCCGGTCTCCTTGCGCACGAACTCCTCCTGGCCATTGCGGGGGTTCGTGAGCTTCATGCCCCACCGACACATGGGGCCTTTGACCGTGAAGACTCCTGGATGCGCGACCAGCTCCTTGACGATGTCCTCATTCCACGATCGCGCGCTCCAGGGATGCTCATGCAAGAAGTACCTGCCTGGCTTCCTGAGCTGACGCCAGTAGGCGTCGACTGCCACCTTCAGGTGGTGTCTGGCCTCCTCCATCTCAGCCGCCTCCTGCTCATCGGTCCTGAACTTGGCGCTCAGGCCCCTCAGCAAGCTGAACTTCTCGCATGGAGGGGACCCCGTGAGCAGGATGGGATCCATCCGCTCCTGCTGCTTCTCGAGCTCCTTGACATCTTCGGGGCGCCGCAAGTCCCACGGCGTCCCGTCCTCCTTGAGTTCCTCCAGGTCCGCCGCGAAGCCCGGGCGCAGCTGAAATTCCGCTGCCCGAGCCGAGAACCGATGTGGCGAGTGCACCTCGGCCACGTCCACGGCGCCCAGCTGCAACGCCGATAGGGCGATGCTGTCCACCTCCTCGTCGGCGATGTCCACGCCGGCGCTGGCCCAATGGCCGCTGACCTGTTCGCGAACGAGCGGGAGCAACTCCGCCTTCGCTCTCGTCAGCACTCCGAGCTCAACCAGCTCGATCGACGCCGCATCGAGGGCGAGCACCCGCATGTGCCTCCCCTCACTGGCGTTCCACACGACTGCCACTCCAGCTGGCAGCTGAGGTCCTTCCGCCGGCGCCGGCTGCGCCGCGAGATCCTCCATGTCCACCGGTACCGGCACGTCTGCCGGCTGTGGATCACCGCGCTCGAGGGCCTCCGGCACATCATCCGGGGCCACCTCTGCCGAGCGCTTCAGCCGCGACCTAGCCGCGGTCATGTCGACATCCGCGGCGGCCTCTGCCGCTCGCGCCGCTCCCGAACTGGAGCTCGCTCCTCCTGAAGGAGCCGCCACGCCGAAGCCCGGTGCTACCGGCTGGCTCTCTCGCAGGCGCGCCGCCGTGGCTGCCACGGCTGGCGCTGCTGCCGAGCGGGTCGCGGCCGGCGCGGCCGATGCCGCTGCCGCCGCTGCCACCGGCTCGGTGATCCTCCGAGCCGTCTTCGGCGGAGGGGTCCCTGCCGCGGCCGATGCCGCCGGTCGGACTCTGGCCTCTTGGCCCTGCCTCCGCTCTCGATACTGGCCGGTCCTCTCCCGGCCTGCCTCCTCCGCGTCCAGCGCTTCGAAGATCCTCTTGCTGCACACCGCGTTGTGCGCGTGGCCAGCCAGCACCCGGCCGTGCTTAGCGATCGAGACGCACCCTGGGCATCCCGGCGTTGCGCCCAGCCGCTCGATGTCCGCCTTGAGGACGTACATCCTCCTCGGCGCCTGCGGCTGCGGCGACACCACCACAATTGGTGACGGACCGACCTCTCCAGGTCCGACGATGGCCCGCGGCGCGCTTGCCGCACGCGGAGCCACGTCCCACGGCAGGCCCTTCAGGCCATCCCAGCCCGCCGTGATCCACTTCTCGCTCTGCGGCAGGCTGCGGAAGCCGACCGCCTTCTTCACGCCGTCGCTCGTGATGACCATCATCGAGCTGTCGCGCGGGTGGTGGCCGATGTAGCGAGCCTCCACCATCTGCTCCTCCAGCGCGTTCTTCCTCACGCGTTCCCCGGCGAACCGCGCCATCAAGCGTTCGCCGAAGAGCGGGACCGGCTTCCTCCACTGCCGTCCCGTGAGCCGCTGAAGAGCGGTCTTGCCGTCCTGGCCGCGCCGGTATCGGTTGATTACCGATGCGGCGTGCTCCGGCAGGTGCGCTAGCACCGGGTGCTTGTCCTCCACCTTGACGCCCAGCTTGGACTCCAGGTCCATCTTGAGCGCCCGCACCTGCTTCTTGATCTCGCGCACCGTGACCTCAATCTCCCCATTGGCCTGATGATCGGCCGGTGCCGACTCCTGGGGAATGGCCTCGAGGCCAGGAACCTCCTCCACCGCACGCCTCTTGACCAGCAGGATCGCCGGCTCGCCGTCGGACTTGTTGACGATCTTCCTGTAGCCCAGGATCCGCAAGAAGCGTGCGAAGAACTTGATGGCGTAGGCGTCGTCGCCCTTCTTCTCCACGAATGTCGCCGCCATCATCTTCGAGCGCCGATCCCTAAGGACCAGCATCGGCATGGTGTCCGCGTCGTCCTGGCCCATGAAGGCGTAGTCGGACGAGACCACCGGCACCGCTGTCTCGTCGTCCTCCGGCGCGGAGATGCGGCTGGCCTTGGCCCTTTGCCGCAATACACACGCGACACCAGCTGCGGTAAGTCGCGTGTCCCATCGCCTCGTGTTCGGCGATCTCCCTCTGAGAGGGCTCATGAGGTGCCTTCAGCACTCTCGGGCGAGCCTCCTCCTCGCCCTCCCGGCCTGCTGTCCATCAGGAGCAGCTGGCAAAGCGTCGGCCGCAGCAGCTGCCGCTGGCTGAAAACCCGGCGGTCTCACGTCGGAAGGCCCCGACCCCGCCGCTGCCGCCCCCGCAGCCGATGCCGCCGGGGGCCGTGGTATTAAGTCCTCCAGTGGGCTTACGCCGAGGGCTGCCTCCTGGGGACTGTCTTCTCGAGGATCTCCATCAGCTCCTCCTTCGACTTGCCGCTGAGGAGCTCCACCAGCTCGGACTTCGACTTCGCCGAAAGTCCCTCCTCGAGAGGAGCAACCGAGCCATGTTGGCCCTTCTTGAGGTAGAAGTTGTAGACGCCCTGCTCGCGATAGACCGGCAGCATCTGGTGCTTCGCCGCCTTCGCCTCCTTCTCGAGCATGCCTACCACGCGCTTGCCGATTGGGCTCTTCTCGTGGAATATCCAGCCGCCATTGCGGCCCAGGAATGAACACTGTCCAGCTCCTGCTGCCTGCCCCACCGAGATCAACGGCTTGTGCACGTTCGTCACGCGTCCCTTGAGCGCTCGTAGCACTCCGTACTCGTCCTCCGCCTTGAGCTGCAAGCTGCCCTCGTCCGGGACGAGCTCACCACTGGCCGTGCGATACGTGCTGCCGTTGCCCTTCATTCCCGTCGGCGGCGCGAAGCTCCGAGGGAATGCTGAGATAGCTGCACCGCTGTCCCAGTTGAACTTCATCCAGTCGTCCTGCGCGAAGGGAGAGAGATCGACCGCCGCTACGCCGCGGCCGCTGCCGCTGGCGAGCTCCAGGCAGTCCAGGCTGCCCATGTCCAGAGCGGCGACCTCCGCTTCAGGCTCCTCCTCCAGGCTGCCTGCAGCCTTGCCGCCGGCCTTGCCGCCGCGGCTACCGGCTTTACCACCAGCGCTTGCCCCCGTTGCGGATCCAGTTCCAGCCCTCGAACTCGATCCCTGCTCTTTCTTCCAGCAGTCGGATGCCTTGTGGCCCCATCTCTCGCAGTTCCGACAGTAGCCGTCGAAGCGCCCGCTGGTGTATCGAGGTGCCGTGTGCCCTGAACCACGGCCCGAACCCGTCGGGGATGTGCGGGAGCCTGAGTATGATCCGTTCGTCGATTTGCTCTTCCCCTTCGGCTCCTGAGTCTTGCCTTTCCCTTTGCTCTTGCCGTCCTTGCCCTTGCCTTTGCCTTTGCCCTTCGGGGCTCCGAACGACCCGACGTCCATGTCGTCCGGATGATGCGCCCGCGCACGGATCGATGGCTCCTTGATCTTCACGCCGGTCCGAGCCTCCACGATCGTCATCACCTCGTTCAGACTGTCCTGGAACGTTTCGAGCCGATGCTTGTTGAGGACGAGGTGGTTCTCGATGTCCTGAGGCACGAGCATCTCGAGAGCCGCCATCTTGATATCCTCCGGCAGCTCGGCTAGACCATCTTCTCCTTGGCGGCGTTCGTACCTGCCTATCTGCTGGATCCACTTCTCTAAGGCGGATCCCAGCTCGTCCGCGCTGCACTTCGGAGGCGAGATGATCGACCTCAGGATCAGCCTCTTCCTCGGACCTGTCGTCGGATCCCACCTGCGGTGGAGCTTCCGCCAGGCTTCGAGACCGTTCCCATCGGGAGCGCCCGTCACGAGGTCGTTGCTCTCGCTCCCGTCCGCCGTCGTGCTGATCAGCGCCGCGTACAGCTGGTTGACCTTTGTCTCCAGCTCTGGCACTCCGTCGTGCGCCGCCTGAGCCCCCGCGATCGTCACGGGGCGTTCGGCTTCTGCCGCCCACCGAAGAACGGGACGAAAACTCTCTCCGTACACGCCGATCACGTAGTTCTCCATCTTGCGATTCCAAGCGCCGAACTTCTCTTGATCGTCGCCCATCGTCGCGGGCTTGCCGATCCCCTTCGTGTCGACGAGACCGTGAGCGGCTGTGCCCATACTCGACGCGCCCCGGATCTGCTCGCCCATCCGCTCGATCGCCTGCGGGATTGCCGCGAGGCCTCCTGCCACCTGCTGCTGAAGCCGCTGATTCTCGCTCTCCAGCCTCCTCATCTCGTCGGCGGCCTGGCTTATTTGAGCCGCGAACTCCTGCCTCAGCAGTTCGAACTGCTGCCGAACCTGCTCGTCCATGCTTGACAGCGTGTCTCTCGGCGAGCTCCTCCCGGCTCTCTGCTATCTCCTGCCTCGTACGCTCGAGGTCCGTGATCCTGCCGAGGACTTCCTTCTGCGCTCTCTCGACGACGTCTGATGAGTTCTCCGACGGATGGTCCTCGATGTGCGCGAGGTCACTGAGCTTGTTGCCAGTCTCCCTCAGGTCGTGTTTGTACTGGAGTACCCTGCGCCTGGTCTCGATCGCCGCCTCACTCCGCTTGCCGCGCCTGCGGCCGCCTTTCCCGGCCCCTGCCGGTCGCTCGGTCGCTGCCGAGCTTGCCGCGGTCGATGCCGCCCTCTTCCAGCCTCGAGCCTCCTGCCTGCTCGCCGTGGCGCCCGCGGCGCGCCGAGGCCTGGGTGGGGTCGGCAGCAGTGAGTGGCCAGCTCACGCTACCATGATGAGATAATATGCCGATGAACAACAATATCTCCTTTTCATCTTGAGCCAAAATAGGCGCACAGAGGAGGGTGTCAGAATCACCGGCCCCACTCGACCTCCATATTCAGCACAAATTTAAATCGCTGGCCCTACAGACGTCGAGGTCGGGGGGGAAACCTCTAACATAGAACCCTGGGCCGGAGCCCTTTCCGGGAAAAACTCGAACTTACTCCCTCCTCCTCCTCCTCCTCATCCTCCTCCTCCCCATCCTCCGTTTCCGCCTCCTCCTCCCCATCCTCCTCATCCTCCTCCTCCTCCTCCTCCTCCCCCTCCCCCTCCTCCTCCTCTTCTCCCACCCCCTCTTCGAGAGCTCTACACAACGGGCCGCCGCGTCTGGAGTCCCCCCGGATTTTCCCTTTCCTCCCTGTTGGAAACGCCAGAAACACTCCGTGCCAGCCCTGTCCGTTCCAGCTTGAATATTTCGGGCCGGGGATGCTGGATCAGTATCTCCATCCTTCCACCAAGGAGTGCCTTCAGAATGCTCTCCCCCTCACCTCTTCTCTCCCTCCCCCGGTGCGCGTCTCTGTGTACACGGATGGAACGGGCGGGAGTCAGGCCCTGAGTCAGACTGCAAGCATCCCTGTTGTCCCTGCTGCTGCTGTGGTGGTTGTCTATCACTACTCCGACGGGGCCTTCGCTGTCGCAGGTTATAGTTCGGTTATTGTTCCCAACAATATCAAGGAAGTGCTTCCAGTTCAACAGTCTTCTGATTCATCCGAACTGATGGCTGCAATATGGGCCCTGGCATATATTGCCCAAGGACCACACCCGGACGTCCCCGTAGAGTTTGTGATTGACTAGCAGCGCACCCTCGGCGTCATCTCAGGCTCCCAACACTTTCATTTCAAGAACTCGGTTGTGTTGTTTCTCCGCTCTATTACTCAATGGCTCGGGGATTTCAAGGACATGTCGTTTCGCCACCTCTCGTCGCACATCGGAGAGGGTTTTAATGAACTCGTTGACACCTTTGCGCGCGCTTCTCTGGGATGGGACTGCTGCCGTGCCCACCCTTCATGCCGTTCGCCGAGTATCTATGTGATGCTACCCCAGTTGCATGGCTGTGAATGCACGAACACGGATTAATGGTCCAAAGCCCAGAGGCACCACTTCCACGGATTTCCGAGGACAACATCCTAGAGGTCAGGCACATGCTCCCAGGTGGGTACACGACGGGGGAGGTTCTTAGTGGATTTCGCCAGCTTTCAGGGCCTCGTGAACAGGGAATGCGCGTTACCAGGGTACACTTTAACCTAGTCATCAAGGTTGGCTTGGCTAACGTGCTCACCCTCAGAAATAACACCGACAGATGGACCAGGACCCACAAGAAGCGAATGTCAGCCATGACCCAAGAGCTCATTGGACTCAATGCCCCAGGCTGGCTTACAGCGTTAGCGAAACAGTTCACGAACGCCGGCTATCACATCGTCGCGACTGTTGAGACTCGGTTTCGTTCCCGCATGCCTAGTCGAGATGGTGACTACGCTGTTTACTATGCTGCTTGCACAGACGACTGTTAAAAAAAGGTATTACGATTTGGGTACATGTAGTGCGGCCCCTCGTTGAAGGAAGGCCTCCACTTGCCAAGAAGCAAGTGGTTATTACACACTCGGAAACTACTCGTCTTCTCTTGTCGGCGCAACTCCCTCATGCCAGGTTTGTCATATTTGAAGGTCACGGGCCCCGCGAGGCCGTCAAGGAGCCCGACGCCCTGGCGATCTTACAGCCGCCAGTCGAGAACGGGCTCGTAGTTGTCTGTTACATAGACGCCAATACTGAAGTTGGCTCTAATACCAGTCCTCCTGCCGGGAGGGTTCAAGCGGATGACGAGGACCTCCTGGGTGAATATCTCTATATGTTTGCTACGAGCTTGATTTCTGCATCCCCTCCACCTCCCTGAGCCCCCCTTGGGGGACTCGGGGAAAACCTAGACTAGCTCCGACGACAAGGTTTCGAAGCGAATCGATTATGTTGTGGTCCCCAGGCACCTTCTGAGAGGCACCTCGGACGTGGAAGTCGATCGAGGGGTTGATTTGGCCAACGCCATTCACGACCACGCCTGCGCGGCCCTGAAAGTTGCGCCCCCAGCCGATCAAAACAGCCCCCCCCTCTTTGACTGGTGGAAACCCATTATTGACCCTAAACGCCTCCAGGACCCTGCTGCCCGTAAGGCCTTTCAAGATTTTTCAAGCTCGATCCCGAGCATGCCGCGGCATGTCTCACCCACGCTGCAGCGCGCCGCCCTCGACGGGCATCTCGTGCAGTTTGCGGTCGGCCATCCCCAACCAGACAAGAAGGATCGGGGGGAGCGGCTTCGCCAAGGCACGCTGGACCAGTTGGAGCTTCGACGGGCCCTCCCAGGCCGAATCGGGTCTTTGAAAAGACGGGCCAAT